AAAGGATAACAGATGAAGGATATATTTTGGCTTATATTGTAAGAAGAGATGCCACCCATTTGGGTGGAAAGCATGATGACTAGCTGTTCACACAGCTCACCAATCATAAAGTAGGCCTTAAGAGGAACAGAGGAAGATCTATTAGATTAGACCACTGGGATGATACAGTCTCTGGACCTCCTAAAGCAGGCACTCACCTCTCCTGCAGTTTTAGTTCTCTCTGACCATAAATAAACCCTTTCCCTACAGGCTCATCATCAATGCTGTCACTGGGACAGACTGTCAAGCCCATAATGACTCCCAGGAAAAGCCCAAGCCCAAGCCTAAACTCACCTTTTTGGGATCATTTCTCCACATTAACCCAGGGGATCAGGTCAATCTTAAGAGTCACCTACAAGAAGAAAGACCACTGGAAGCTGTTTGGACCTGGCATTATCAAGTCAAGTCCACATCTCTAATTGCAATCAAGCTGCAAGGTCCATTTCTATTGAGGGAGAGTGAGAAGGGACACAGGCAGATAGGGAAAGTCAGAGCAGGTTCCTTAAGATGGCAACAACTTGTTCCCAGGAGGCACTGGAATGGAGAGGGGCAAGAAAGAAGAGCCCACTGGGGTGGACATCCAAGCAGGAGCAATAAGGAGAAAGTGAAAGGGAGGATCCAGTGACCATGTAAGACCCTGGACCCAGGGCCTGTTCAGTGAACTCCCAGCTCTGGGACCACACTAAGCTATTTCTGTTGCTTTTTCTACGTTTTGGTTTTCTGTCTTTCCCAGCCAGTCAATTTTTTGCCTGTCTCATGAATGAACTTGCCTATTCCTTTGACAACACAATGGGCCCATCTGGCCTCCTATAAAAGAAGTTCATGAGCACTACTCCTGTGTGCCTCTTGGAGATCTCCATTTACTGTCTGATGAGAAGCAGGTGAAATCTGCCTTCACCAATCTCCAAACCCTAATGAATATCCAAGACCCTCCCAACTTTCTTGGATCTAGCAAATAAATGTGAATTTTATATGGTGTTTCTTTACTCCACTCCATGTCCTAGAAAAGACTGCCACCCACTTCAGGGAATTCATCCTGATCCTTTTCCTCTAGGGAGACCTCTGAAACTATTCCTGTATCAAGGGTAAACTTCCCTAAAAGTTCCAAAGAACATCTTTACTGCAGTTGTAAAGGCTGCCTACCTGCCTCAGGACAATGCTGACAACATTGCTGGACTCCGTACTGGGTCTGGGAGTCTTAACTGGCTGATTACTATTGTCCCACTCCTTTCCTACCATATTAAAATCCCATTATTGGGTCACTTTTACCCATTCGACATCTTGTTATTCCTGATCCTGCTTGAAATATCATCTTACCAACTTCTTCAAAAGTCTGTGATCTCTTCAGTCACCACAACTGAACCCTCATGGAGGACTGTAGATTTGACTTCTCTTACATCC